TCATCTTTATCAGGAAATAAGCTCTTGTAGTCTTGTCATCAAAGTAGTAAAGTCTTAAGAGCAACTGATCTTGACTACGTATTAATTTTTACAAAAGGACAGTTCAGGCATGCTGTAACCAACAGAATGTGAGGCATACCATTCCATGCATGTCATACCTGTCATTTATACTCTTTTCACAAGAATTAGAGACATATGCATCATCCCAGGTTAATCACATTCTCAAAGGTATCTTAAAACCAAAACACAAAGATGAGACAGTTCTTTAAATCTCCTGTTTTAAATACAAACAGCAGAGGGATATGAAAACTACTAACTACCTGGATTACTAAATGAAGTTTTATTTTCAGTTTTATTACATTTTGAGTTGTATTTTATTCACAATGAGAATTTAAAAAAAACTTACTACAGAAGCATTAGGTGCAGACAAGTAAGTCATAAAATCCTTTGCAAATTTATGCTAGAAAAACAAAAGAAAAAAAAAATCAAAGTTAAAAGTAGATTTTTAAAAAGAAAAAAAGAACTCACAACAGAATAAAGTAAAACAAGAATTTTTACCAAACAATTAAATGCTGATAAATTTTCTGAACCAGCAAATCGAAAACCGAGAGACAAGCAGGCCCCCGCAATTATGTAGACGTGTGCTTGCCTGAAAAGAGATTAGAAGAAATTTAATATTGCTATTTACCTTTAAAATCCATCATCATCTATTCTCTTAAAATAAAAATAATAACTATTACTGTTCTTAAAACTAAAACTAGTTTTAGTATTCTTCTAGGAATACTCAAAAACATCCCTAGCCCATCGGCAGATGTCTGTGCACTCTTCAGCAGATGCTCCATGTGACCCTTTCTGCTGTCTCCTGCTTGACATTCCATCAGATGCTACAGAAATTATATGTATGTAAAAAAAAATTGCTGCCACTTTTTCCATAGAATGGATTCAAAAAGGAGAATGAGAGTCAGGCATGGTGGTGCACACCTTTAATCCCAGCACTTGGGAGGCAGAGGCAGGCGGATCACTGAGTTCTAGGCCAGCCTGGTCTACATAGTGAGTTCCAAGAAAGCTGGGGCTACAGGGAGACCCTGTCTCAAAAAAGAACCCTCCCAAAAAGGAGAATGGATCAAAGACCTCAATAAGAAGCCTGAAACTCTGAAACTGTTAGAAGAAAACATTGGGGAAAACCTACAAGATATAGGTGTAGGAAAGAATTTTCTAAACCAGACATCAATTGCTCAGGAAACAAGGGCAACAATTAAGAAATGGGACCTCATTCCTGGTCTTGGGTCCCCAGACACCTGGGGAACCGGTGCTGCTTCCTGATCCTTTTCGCCCAGGC